AAAAAAAAAAAAAGTGCTGTCAGCTTATATTAAAATCAATCCCATCTTAAAAGGCAGCATCCTTGTAAATCATACCAGCCCCAAAAGTGGGATAAATCAAATTTACTTAGAATCAACTAACTCATCATATCATAATGTCATGTCTTATCAAAACCGAGCACTGCACAAATTAGGACTTAAAAGGCATTTTGTTTAAAAAAAATGTCAAGTGGTCTCAACCTAAAAGGGATTCAGTATGAGGCATCCAGAGAGGGAATTACATTTGCACATCAGATAAACTTTATGATACAGTGCAAAAATTATTGACCATACCAAGCTGATTTTCCTTTAGAGGAGGAAATTCTGAGTCACTGGAGCATACTAAGCTTAATGTATGTGAAAGGCACTAAAATTTGGAATGCACCGATACTCACCATAGGTAATCAGAGAATAGRGAAAATGTCATGAGTTGTGTTAATAGCAGTGGTGTGGTAGCCATGGTAATATAAAATATTAGTGAGGTGCTGTGGGGAGAAGTAACACTTTCTGCTAGACCAGTGGGTGACATGAGGGGGGAAAAAGAGGTGTGGGGGGGACCCCACCAAAGTTTGAATTATCTGAAACATTTTCTCTGTGTTTGAAATACAATTAAAATCTTCCAGTCTTATCTAGTCTGTCCTCAGCCAGGTTACAGCTCCTCTAATTTCATGTATATATATATTAAAAGAAAAAAAAAAAGTGAAGAGAAAAATGATATGGAGAAGAGGAGCTGAAAATCAGATGAAGAAGGGAAGTGAGCAGAAGGGAATCCAGCCAGGAGAGTGTGGTAGGATAAGGGATAAGTCCAGCTGAGGTTGTGCCACTGAGGCAGCTGAGAAGTGATTTCCTTTCCTTCTGCTTCTGTCAGTTCTTCCTGAGCAAATGGATGGACCCAGGTTGCTCGCAACACTTGCAACTCCTTCACAGTATCGCTGCAACAAATGAATTTCAGGAGCCAGAGAAAAGCCTTGCCAACAGTTTAGGAAGCTGAGAAGACAACATTTGTTACCTGGTCTCCCTACAGCTCCTCAGGGGAACTTCACAGGTCCCATGGGTGCTCTGTGGTTCTGGTGGGCATTTCCTTCCCACAGCTCCTTCCAGCCTTGGAGCTTCTCCCTGCTCCCACCCAGGCTGCTACAACCCCTTTTTCATCATCCTTGATTTTTGTGTCTGCTGCTGTGAACATGCTTACATGGATCCACTGCCCTAATTGGTGTGATTACCTAGAGGTTATCCAAATTACAGCRATGCCTCGGATAACAGGAGCTTGACTGGATAATCTTGGTGTTGTCAGTGAGATGTGTATCCACACCAGTATTAATGAGTTGCATTTCTCATTATTAATCGACTTGCTGTCTGTGCTGAGGCTTGTTTGTGTTGGGTTTTGGTKGTACGTCACTGCTGTCAGCAGCACTGAGCCACTGTCTTCTTCCAACTCTTTYGTGTGTGGTTTTAGGGGTTTTGGAGCTCTCAGCAGGTGCTGTGATGAAGCAACTTCTCAGCAAAGTCTTGCAGACAAGAGCAGCTCCTGTAAAGGAAGACTTTATATGGGACGGGAAAATGTTGTCACATAACTTAAAGTTCATGGGTGATGGCATGTCACACTTTTTTTTATTTTTATTTTTGCTAATTTAAAATTGTGTTTAAGAAAGAGCGACAAATTGTCATGAATTTTCCACTCTGGAGTCACAAAAACACTTCCAAAACTTCTGTCTTCATCCCACTTAGCAGGGAATTTATTGTTTTCGCGGTGTCCTTTGCCCGTGTTTAAGTGAAAGCTGGAAGCAAATTACTTTGAAATGGAATTTTCAGGCTTAAGGTTAGGATGATGGGAGTTTGGATTACTCACTCCTGTAGCAGAAACACAAACCAGGTGAGATAAATTTGTCTCCATCATCCTGCTGATGGCCTTCATTCCCTGGTAAGGTGCCACAGCAGGTGCCACTGACTGCACRGGGAGGCTTTACAATACAACTCTGTCATTATTAGTAGCTTAATGCTGGAAACTGGGTGTACCAGCACTGTTGTGCTCCACCAGACTGAGCTCCAGCTTGGCCATCTGTTGAAAAGTGTTCTTGAAAAAAACTAAAAAAGCTGTTTCTGTGCTGTACTGCAGAGGTGTATGTGCCTATAGTTAACTTTGTTATATTTCAAACCTACATAATAAATATTAGTAGCTTACATGCAAAAGAGATGTTTCCAAGGTCACAGTGACTTTGCTGTTTATTTATTTACCTGAAAGAACAATATTATTTAAGAACTTGCCTATCATTGGAGAGGCAAAATTACAGAGGAGGGTGAAAATGTATTAGGGAATTTGGGACAGTACTTGGCAGGACGTGTTATAAGGGTTAATTAAAGGTGGAAATTGTGGGAGATATCCACAAGTGCAGTTTCAGTGCCTGGTTGGTTTTGGAGGCACRCAGTGATGGATGTGTGCCCTCAGCTGAGTGTGTGAGTGCACACACAAACCCCTGGCACTCCTGGATCCTGAGCAGGCTCTGTGTGCGGGTTCCTGTGAACTGACGTGTATGTTCTCTGTTACCCGGGTTCTTTCAGGTTCAGTGGTTTCGGAGAGCTGTAGTTTAATAAAAAGAAAGTGGTAGAAACACACAAACTATTTAAAGGGTAAGCTGCATTTCAAAGTTCAAAACTAGKTGTTTGATGTGAAAAGACTATGTGTAAACTTGTTCTGCAGCAAGCCTTTTACTAATTTATCACAGCAGCTCTGCTGGCGCTGTGGCAGGTTGAAGGAGCTGTCCTCCAAAGGCTTGGAGAGCTCTCACTTCACACAGCACTTCCTTTGAAGAGYTACGTGACGGCTGCTATGTAAATTTGAACATATGCCATACCTTTGAATTTCATATGGACCCCAATCTTTCTGCATTTAGAGTGGCAAAACTCACTTTGACTTCAGTGTGCAGGTTGGAAGCACATGTTCCTCCAGCACCTTCCTGCAGGTCCTTTTTTACTGTTATTTGCATTTGAAGAAAATGGGTTYGTCCTTATTGCATTGGCTCTAAGGGTTTACGTAATTGTAACTTGTGAATTTAGAATTATGGTTTTCTCCAGAAAGGCTGGTAATTTAGATAATAGAACATTGTTGTTGTTACAGTAGCATATTTGGAATCCCAGCGTGTTGTTGCTTTTTCTTAGTTTTTATGTATTAATCTGTCGCTTAATAGTCTTGTTCTTCAAATGCAATTAAAAAAAATTTGCTTAGAGAACTCATTCTAATTGCACTTCCTCAAAACATTCTTAATGATGAACAGTGAAGATGAAAATAGCAGAACTTGGCTACTTTTAT